AAAAAAAAAAAGAAAGTTTATTGGCAATCATAAGACTTTAAGGAGCTGGCAAGCCCACGCCGGGCTTCTGAACTGTTTTACTTGGTATAATTCTATTCATGTGATTAACTCTCATAGTATCCATGTGTAACAATGCTGTTAAGTATTCTATTGTGTGAATAGACCTTAATTTATCTTTTCTACTGTTTTTTACTTATTTTTTGAGGCAAAGTCTTACTTTGTCACCCTTGGTAGAGTGCTATGGTGTCATAGCTCACAGCAACCTCAAAGTCTTGGGCTCAAAAGATTCTCTTGCCTCAGCCTCCCCAGTAGCCAGGACTACAGGTGACCACCATAATTCCCGGTTGTTTTTAGAAACAGGGGCTTGCTCTTCCTCAGACTGGTCTTGAACTCCTGAGGTCAAGCAATCCACCTGCCTGGGCCTCCCAGAGTGCTAGGATTATAGGCGGGAGCCACGGCACTGGCTAGACCTTTATTTATTTCCACAGAAATGGTAAGTTGTGCTGAGAAGTGACATTGAAATGGTTCCTACGATCTTAAGATGAAGAACACCAACTTCAATGAGCCCACAACAGTGCTCAGTGTGTCCCTCTGACATCGGCAGAGAAGACCAGGATCCAAACCCAGCCTAGCCTGAGCCTAGAGATTCTCAAGGGATTCCAGACTCTTGCCCAGTGAGCTCCTGGGTCATCCAGAGCATTGTGAGGCAAGACAGAACTAGAATAACAGACTTAAAAAAGGAAGGTGACCCACTCCTGACCTGTTCACTATGTGCATATCTCTTCAGCGACAGGCTTGACCAAGTAAGATGGAGCTGCCTTTCCCAAGGTCGCATTAAGGTTACCAGCAGTGCCAACTTGGGATGGCAGAGGACTCTGTCACAACCTGGCCTTGGTTTGGCTTGGAAAACAAATCCAAATCTCCTTGTAGGCAGAATTTCAGATGGGCCAACAGAGCTCCCTGGAGGTATGAGGCCTGAAGCCTGAAGGGACCAGCGGGTAACTGGCCTCACAGCCTGAGGCCAGTCAGCCCCAACCAAGAGCATCCTACTTCCTTGGAGGGTTTCTTTGCCTGAGGAAAGTGGAGGCTGGCAGTCGTATTCCTTCAGGATCTTCTGAAAATGGAGGCAAGGGTGATCCTGAAGAAGCCCTTTGTTAGGGGGCCAATACCAGCCCTAATTGAACTGATAAACCAAAAATATAGCCACTCTTTCTTGTAGTTCAGAATTCCTAACTTGCCTAATGGAGACTCAACCTGAGTTCCAAGAGTGAGGCAGGCAGTGACAGCATGAGGCCTATTTCATAAAGCACAAAAGACGGTGTGCTTCAATGGCATGGGTATCTACGCGTGATGGGTTGGGGGAGAGGTCCCAGAGTAAGGGGAAGGTGATTGAGGGTGGTCCGACAAAACAAAGGGTCAGGAGGAGGACAGCAACAGAGGGAAGGGGAGCGCATAATGGAGTCTGCGGGCTCCCCAAGGGTGGAAAGAGGGCAGCCAGAGGCTAGCAGGGAGGCCTGGGATAGAAACGCCGGGCAGGTTCTCCGCGGTGGGAAAGTCTGGCCATGCTGCCCTTACTCCCAAGCCAGACTTCACCTGTGAGGGGTACGGGCAGGTAGTTTCTACATCCCCCATCACCATCCCTTGTACATCCCTGAGCCCCAGGGCACGCTTTACGATAGGTTTAGTGCCAGAAGAGAGGAAACCAGCCGCAGCTGTAGGAAAACAGCGTGAGCCGAGAGGGATTACGTCCCCCAGCACTACGGGGAGTCCTCACTTCCGGGTGCAAGCGGATGGGCGGGCTGTGGTCAGAGGTCGGCGGCCAGAGACCAGATTCCCGGACCCAGTTGTCCACCCCCAGCGGCTGCCAAGTGACCGTTGGAAAAAATCAGGCTACGACTAAGCAACATCTGCGAACTCTCCCCCAACCCCTAAATTCCGCCGGCTCATTCTGGTGGAGTCTCCGTGGCGACGTGTAGCCAAGTGCGGCTGCGCAAGAGTGACGAGCGCGGGCGAGGGGGAGGGGGTGTTTTGGTTCTAGCCGCTCGCCGTCCTTTCCAGACTCGGTCGTCGGAAAGCTTCTCGTTTCTGCTTCCCCCACCCCTTTCCCTTCCCTTTCCCAGCCCCATTCTTCCCTCCTTTTTTCCTACCTGCCGCCCCGGGTCTGGGCCATTTTTTGGGCCGGGCGCACTAAGGTGCGCGGCCCCGGGGCCCAGTATATGACCCGCTGCTCTGCTGTCCCTCGCTTCCGCCGCCCCATGTGGCTGCGGGGTCGCGGCGGTGTTGCCCACTATGGCCCGGAAAGCAGTTAGCAGGAAGCGGAAAGCGCCGGCCTCGCCGGGAGCCGGGAGCGACGCTCAGGACCCGCAGGTGAGGGCTGAGGCTGGAGTCTGGGTGATGAGGCCCAGATACCAAGAAGGGCTTTGGGTCCGCAGATGCGAGTGTAGAAATTGAGGTTCAAGATCTGTATTAACATAGGGCAAGGGCCAAGAATGGGCCTTTAGAGTCAGGGCTGGCCTCTCAAGAGTTCACTGGAGCAAGACCGGTGGGTAGTCAAAGGGAAGCTCTGAAATGGAGCATGTTCCTCGGGAGGCGTGCAGCCAGGAATAGGGCTCGACGAGAAACCAGAATCTTGGTTTTAGAGAAAGGGGAAACCGAACTTAAGGGAGATCGGTAACAGAGCCAACCTCTCAAGCGATAGTAGGAGGGAGAGAGGAGTCGGCCTTCCACCGATCATGGGAAGCTGGGAAGCTGGGAAGCTTGGATGATAGCGTCCCTCGTCAAGGAAGGAGTCTACATGTGGATACCAAGCCATGACCTGGGCCTTTTAGCATTTGAGCCCCTGAAAAAAACAGCAGTTCCTAGGTATAATCCCTGTACTGGCCTTTTTTAGAGTTGGATTCGGACTGTGGTTTCCCGTGCCCACCACCCCGTTGGTGTTTGAGTTTTCGAATTCCGCAACTGCCTAGGGCGCGGGCGTGATGACTGGAGCGACCATTGGTAGCGCATCCTTTGGAAGACCTAGGACCCCAGTCTACCTCCTTGGGCTGCTCTCTCCATGCTCCGCAGGGAGTATAGGCTGAAAGGGAGAAGGGGACTGGGTAGAGATGCAGCCCAGGTCGGTATGGAAATTATTGGGTCTTCCCTTCTCTATCAAGAATAGCTATAGGAGATCTGACTTCACTTTTAAAAGATCTAGTGTAAACCTTTTGGCCCTTTCTTTTCTGTTTCCACTCTCCTGTTTTCAGCCCTTGTAATTCACATAGGTAAGTGTGGCTATGAACAACACCTTTTCATTGTTGGAAGAGTTAAACTGGACTTTCTGGATCAGGAGATCTTGAGACTCATTCTGTTGTGTTTGTATTTCTGTTGTATGTAAACCTACAGTATGAAATCTTGGTGATTTCTCTAATACAGCGGGTCTCTTTCTCTGAATAAAGGTAGCTGAAGCCCTGATTTCTAATGTTGCTTTCCACAGTTTGGCTGGGATCACTCGCTTCACAAAAGAAAAAGACTCCCTCCAGTGAAGAGATCTTTAGTGTACTACCTGAAGAACCGGGAAGTCAGGCTACAGAATGAAACCAACTACTCTCGAGTGTTGCATGGTTATGCAGCACAGCAGCTTCCAAGTCTCCTGAAGGAGAGAGAATTTCACCTTGGAACCCTTAATAAAGTGTTTGCATCTCAGTGGTTGAATCATAGGCAAGTGGTCTGTGGCACAAAATGCAACACGGTAAGTGTCTGGGAGCATATGAACTTTGCACTGGCCCTTGAATATATGGTTCCACATGCATTTCTCACTGTTCATTTTTCCCATCCGTTTCTTTCAGGAGGGAACTGCATTACTCTCTATTCTCTCCTGTTGAAGACTTCTTCCTCCATTTTTCTGCTCCTTGTCTCTTTTTACATTTCTTTTCTGGTAAATCTTCAAAGAAATATATATCCTTAGGCTTCTTTGCCTCTGGATATGCTGCTTCTAAATTTTTTCCTATCATCTTTTTATGTTGCTTTTTAAGTCAGGAGGCTTGAAGGAAATACTTAGGAAATAATCATGCTCAGAGCATCATTCAGCATACAAAATAGTGAAAACCTAGGTGTTATCTACCTGCCTAAGGGCATATGTAGAAATATTTAAAATAGCACTTGGCTGAAGATAGGAGTAAGGCAAACATTAATTTTAAGGAAAAGAATGCAAAGATATGTGAACTGAAATATGAGAAAGGCATAAAACATTTCCTATAAGGAAGGTAGAGAATTTTGTGTACTTGGTGGTATATTTCAGGGTCTAAGCATCTGTTCTTTGAAAATTAGCCTTTTATTTATTTATCTGTTTATCTGTCTATCTGTCTGTCTATCTTTGGTTCTGTGATGAACCCAGAGTAGAAAAGAGAATGACTTAAAAGACAGTTATAAAGGAATGAAGGGAAAAATGTATCAGTAAGCTATGTAACCAACACAATTGTAGGCAATGATAAAATAAGTCAAATAGATATGACTGGGTACAGTGGCTCAATGTCTGTAATCCCAGTGCTTTGGGAGGCCGTGCTCACTGGAGGCTAGGAGTTTGAGACCAGCCTATGCAATGTAGTAAGATTTCTGTCCCTACAAAAACTAAAAATGTTAGCCAGGAATGGTGGCAGGCAGTTTTAGACCTACTTATTTGAGAGGCTGAGTCAGGAAGTGGGAAATGATTAGGCCTAGCCACTGCCTTCGTTTTCACCTCACTGTGTGTGAATAGATAGGTAATGGCATCATGACTGATTAAATTGACCTTGGACCTTAGAAACCCGTCTAAGTAGTAGTAACAAGTTTCCACAAAACTTTGTTTTACTAGTCTCTCAAACTGTCCACTCATGGTTTGAGAACTGTCATAAATGTCACTAGTGTAGGAAAAGAGTCTTCCTTGGCTCAGCACCCTTATGGTGCTGGCCATATACATTGAAGTTGGCAAGTTCAAACCCAGCCCAGACCAGCTAAACAACAATGACAACTGCAAGGAAAAATAGCCAGGCGTTGTGGTGAGTGCCTGTAGTCCCAGCTACTTGGGAGGCTAAGGCAAGAGAATCACTTAAGCCCAAGAGTTTGAGGTTGCTGTG